GCGTTTCGTGGCCCAGGAGAGCCTCTTTGTCTTATTCTGACATCTTAGCAATGGCTTTCTTGCTGCAACTCGTCCTGTCAAACCTGCAGCTCGAAGTCTTCTCTTCACAGTTGAAACTGAGACTTGCTTACTACGACCACTATTAAGCTGTGCTTGAATCTGTTGTCCTGTGAGCCGCCTTCACGCAAGCGCATAACTCTCAGAGGCTTTGGGTCTGCCAGACCACTTCCTGTCAGAGTTTCCCCGAGTTTCTGAGTGCCTTTTGATGGTGAAGAAAACTGTACTCACTGACACCTTGACTTTCTTTGCAATTTCCATGTAGGAAAGACCTACATTTTTAAGTGTTATGATGGTCTGTCTCTCTTCCATTGTTAATTGCCTTTTTCTCGCCATTTTTGTAGCAACACACTACTTTCTGCAGTACAATACTGTTCACCTGATGCTCATGAGGGTCTGGTACCACAGTGTGTTCCAACACTGCTTTTATGCAGACAGAGGGGGTTGTATGTAGTCAAGAAAAGTTGGAACACCTGTAGGAATTAGTAGCACCAGCTTTCAAGGCTGATTCAACCTTCATTGCTGCAGAATTGTTAACCCACTTCGTGTTCCCTGAAAATGGCCTTTTTGTATAATTCTGAAATGTACATTATTTTTCAGTTTTGGGTAACCAAACCTTTTTTTTTAACCTCTGGCTGTTCAGTACTTACCTTTGTACCATTTCAAGCTATTCATTGGACTTGCACGACTTGAATTGCAATAAATAACTGGAAAAATTAGGGTGTTCTAAAACTTTTGACCGGTAGTGTATGTTTTACTCTTTGCGTGCCCAAATTAGAGAGAAGCTGTAAGAAAACACATTAACAGTAAACCAACCCAACCAAACAAACAAAAAAAAAAAAAACACAGGCATTTGACAGACTATAAATGTTGTGTGGAAAGAAAGGAGGAAGCCATCTGCAAACGTTTTCTGAGGTTTCTTGAATACCCACTTCCCATAAATTGTCAGGAATTTTGTGGGAGAAAAAAAGAATCACTTGCTGATGAAACAATTTTTTTCCATAGTTTGTAGCAGGTTAAGCTGTGTTACAACACATTCAAGGAACTCTATACTCTAAATCTTGTGTGTGTCCGTGTTTGAAATAAATGCTCTGTACAGACATTGAGTGGAAGCAGCTGTAATAACACACATTAAATCTCTGAGCTGCCCCGGTTATTTCAAATTGGCTAATCCATTCAGACCATTGTTATGAAGCTATTATATGGCTTGGTGGGCTGTTGTTTACCGAGTCTAATCATGTCCCATAGCCCATAGTTACCTTTTCTATCTTTCCGGTTTACTTTTTATGTGTTTGTCTGGATTAAAGGCGCACTCCAGCTATTTTACACATTAATGTAGAGCTATCCTGCGGAGCCGCGGGGTGATCTGAGAGAATAAGAAAGACATAATCTGTAGGCTACTCTCTGATTTGCAATTCATAAACTGGGTGAGGATTAGTAAAAAAGCACAATGAATACAACTTTACACAGTGGAAGCTGAAACGTCCACTGCGAAACAAATCTTGAATCTAGATAAATTAGACTTACTTTACGGATGTGAAATTTTGGTTTTTCTGTGAAGAAAGAAAGAAGTTTGCAAATCCGTGTGCAGTTTACAAGCGCCTGCACACAGCAGTTTGACAAAATTAAATGTGACTTCAGACAGGGCGTTGAGAGACTGTGATGTAAAGTCTGAAGGCGTAGTTCTACAGCCTAATCATGTGGGGAAGTCCAAAATAAGATGATGTTGATTTGCGTTACAGAGACAGATTTGCGAGTTTGAGTTCAGACGTTTAGACTAGAAGAGTATAGACTAGTAGAAGAAATGATATGTTCCTCTGGGGGGAAAGCTATCCAGATTAAAAATGTGGGATTGAAAAAAAAATGCATATTATTATTATTAAAGGAGAAACTGAATTACTTGGTGTTCATCAGTTGCAATAATAATGACATTTATTTTTTATAGCCCCTTTCATAAAGGGTAGGCTATGCAGCACAGTGTTACAAAGAACTTACATGCACCAAGTGCTTCACATGAAAAAGACATAAAATGAATATAAAAGCATATAATATAAAGATATAAACAAATAATTGTATCAGCCTATGTCAGTAGGTTAACAGAACATCAGGTGACATTTTCAATTCAATTACTTTTAATCACAGTTTTACCAATTGGAATGAGACTGCAGTTCCATTCAAATTATCACAAATTATACAACAATTAGTTCTGACCAAGTAATTTGAATCGACGAGTCATTCACTGAGTGCTGATATAGAGCATAACAGTGAATTTGAAGAGAAAAGGAGAAAAGATAGTGCTGTGTCCTAGCGTGGATTTTTATGGTGATGTATTCTTTTCAGCTCTCTTTTGTCCACAGTTTAAATTGGGCCAGTGTATATTGAATATTCACAAATCACTTAGCATTTGCACTTATAGATAGGAGAGTTTTGGTGTTGATTCAATCATTTCTGTTACAGCTTCAGGGTCTGTTATTGGCAACCTTATGGTGAAACCACTTCCACTTCAAAATGTCCAAATTATTTAAAATCATTGTTATGAAATGTTTATCCTCTGAAGGTTTTGGATGACACAGCAGTTATGGTTTGTTAAAAATGATGAATCAGCTCATTCAGAAGCGGAATTACTTTATGAATATGACACTGATAGCTTAAGGGAACTTGCAAAAACAACACAGCAACATCCCACCTGCCATGTGGGAAATAGTCTTACCATACTCTATGAGGTTAGACTTCCCTCAAATAACCTCAAGCCGTGTGTGAGAAGAGGATATAATGTGGTTGTCTTTTGCTTTTTCCCAGACAAACACTGTCTCATCCGTTCCTCTTTCCAGGAAATTCTGAACAGCAAAACAGCGCCATAAAAGTACAATGGATATTCCTTATCGGGGGGAAACTGCTTGCTTCGACCATCCACACTCAGTGTCACAGATGCAGAGCAAGTCTTCTTGCGTCCCTGCTCACTGAGAGAGAGCAAAACTGTTTCACGCTACCCTCGCCATGCCCTCAGTGTGCCTAACATGGGAAGCACCAGCCCGTTTCGTGTTATCAACAACAGTCCTTTCCACAGCAGCCAGCTCTCACCGGCACACAGCAACATATCTAGCCCTTCTAGAGAGAAGGAGAGGCTAGCCAAGGCCCGCAGTAAACTCCTGGAGAGTCAGTGTAACCATACACCAACCCTTCCTCCAGAAACCAGAGAGCAACTTCGCTATGTCTCCAAGGATGGAAAGTGTCGTGTCAACCTGTGTCACACATCTGAGAGGGGCCGCTTCCTGTTTGCCATCTTTACCTCTTTTGTGGACCTCCAGTATCGATGGTTTCTTTTTGTTTTCATGATGTGCTACATCACGACCTGGTTCTTGTTTGCTGGGCTCTACCTCTTAAATGCTTCCTTTCGAGGTGACCTAGGACAAGAGCAACCCCCCGGTACTCCTGAACACCATCTCATAGACCAAAGGACCTGCTATTTAGGTGTAGACGGTTTCATCTCAGCTCTACTCTTCTCGGTGGAGACGCAGCGCACCATTGGTTATGGGTCACGCACAATGTCTCCCACCTGCTATGAGGGTGTGCTGTTGGTCATGATCCAGTGTATTGTTGGGCCCATGATAGATGCACTCATGGTGGGTTGCATGTTTGTCAAAATATCCAGTCCTAAAAAGCGGGCTGAGATGCTTCTTTTCAGTCATACTTGTGTTATTGCCAGCCGTGAGCCATCGTTATCTTGGAAGGAATTGTTGAGGCCATGGGTGAGTAACATATCGATAACAGTAGAAGTAAAAAAAAAAACAAATAACCGATGGGGCGTCGTGTGGCGTAGTGGTCTAAGCAGGTGCCACATGTGTAGAGGCTACAGTCCTTGCTGCAGTTGGCCCCGGTTCAAGTTCCACATCGGACAGCCGTTGGCTGCATGTCATTCCTCCTCTCTCTGCCTCCCCATTTCCTGTCTCTCTACTGTACAATCAAATAAAGGCATAAAAAAGCCCAAAAAATATACTTAAAAAAAAAAGAAGAGGTTACAGAGGTTGTTATCACAAAAATGAAGGGAAGTTGAAAGTTTCAACATATTCCTGTGCTCTGGCCAACAAATACCTTTTCCTTGGCACAAGTGCTACAATTAACTGGAATATTTTTCAAGCAGTGAGAACCACAAGGGGAACTTTCAGAACACACACCATTTTCCCTGGAAAAACTAAGATCTTAAATCTTGAGCAAAACCTGAGGACTGTAAAACTAATACTATGGCACTTTCATTATTTGACTGTTCAGCGTTATGAACAGTGTGTTATATACACTACCGGTCAAAAGTTTTAGAACACCACACTTTTTCCAGTTTTTTACTGAAAATTATTCAGTTTATTGTGTCATTGCACTCTGAAATGAAAGAATAGAACAAATAAGCAATTTGAGTTGAAAAAATAATCAATTTATAGACCAAAATGTATTCTAAACTTTTGACTCATCAAGTAGCCACCTTTGGCAGATATAACAGCTGAACACACTCGTGGCATTCTTTCTACAATAGAAATCAAATATTCTTCAGAAAGTTCTTCCCAAGTCTGTTTCAGAAGTTCCCATAAATGTGTGGCACTTGTAGGTTGCTTGGCTTTCACTCTTCTGTCCAGTTCATCCCAAACCAGCTCGATGGGGTTTAAGTCTGGAGACTGTGCTGGCCACTCCATTGTATTCAAGCTTACCATCTTGTCCTTTTTTCCTGAGGTAGTTTTGGCATAGCTTGGACTTGTGTTTTGGGTCATTATCTTGCTGTAGGATGAACCTCTGATCAACTAGGCGCATACCAGAGGGTATTGCATTGCGCTGCAGAATGCTGTGGTAGCCGTATTAGTTCAGGGTGCCACTCACTCTGTACAAGTCACCGACCCTGGATCCAGCAAAACAGCCCCAGACCATCACACATCCTCCTCCACTGTGGAACCATCCTCTCGCCTACTCGACGGCGTACAAAGATCCTGCGTGATGAACCGAAGATTTGAAATTTTGATTCATCAGTCCATAATACCTGTGGAAAGAAAGGAGGAAGCCATCTGCAAACGTTTTCTGAGGTTTCTTGAATACCCACTTCCCATAAATTGTCAGGAATTTTGTGGGAGAAAAAAAGAATCACTTGCTGATGAAACAATTTTTTTCCATAGTTTGTAGCAGGTTAAGCTGTGTTACAACACATTCAAGGAACTCTATACTCTAAATCTTGTGTGTGTCCGTGTTTGAAATACTTCTGGGGTACTTAAAAAAAAACCCCAAAAAGGTAGCCATGTGAAGGCAAAAGGTTGACATGCTGCAACTTTGGGATAGGTTAATGAACAGATGAATGAAATGCAGTTTCAACTCTACTGTCCGCCCTATTATGGTTTTTGAGTTAAACTTGTCTGCTGAGTATCATAGTCTGTTGGATGTGACCAATGAATGTGGATTACAGTACATGTTTACATATCAGACTTGTGTTATAACTCTTTGTTAAATGCCTACCATCAGTGTATGAAAGCATTGTATATGTATATGCTCAGTTTATATCTGATATCATGTGTTTGTCCCATGTATATACAGTACTGTAACATGTTTTGCCTTCCTTTTTTCCCCCCTGCCTCTGTAGGTAATGTAAATAGCTAAGCACCCGCAGGTGCATAATGCTTGAATTGAAACATTGACTCATTGGACCCCTCCGTAGATGTAAGCTCTTGGAGAGAGAGCGTTGGGGACAGTGTTATACTATTACTGCTGGTGTTGCATCAGATTGCATGATATTTAAGGTGTTCACAGTGATTAATTTTACATAGCCCTTTTCCACTGAAAACATGTAGTCACACTAGGAAAAGCAAAAGTATAAATAGTAAAATGTATGATGGATGATGAATGATGTTCATGTTATTTGTTACCCCTGTGCTTTTTTCTATTATAACAAGTCAAAATGTCTGCTGTGAAAAAGCTATGATGTGTTCAACCCAGTAAGCAGCAATCTTGACTGTTACAAGTCCAGAGACTGAAACACATAGTGACATCATGTGGTAGTAATGTGTACTTCAATTTTAAAATGGTGGCGTTTTTAACATGTTTGACCTAATCAACACTAAGAGCCATTTCCATCTCATCATTTTATCCACAGGCATGATGTGCAAAGCCAAAACATCCTATATTGAAACAGAGATTGAGTGGGGCGCTTGCTTTGAACACTGCATGACACTGGAGAAGGGCTCGTTCAGAGTAGACATGCGTCGGTTCCACACCACCTACAAGGTACAACTGCCTCACTGCAGTGCCAGACAGGCACATCAGTTAATGGTTCTGGCAGTCTGTAAGCTCCAAGACTCTCTCAAAGCCAGTCGAGACTGGGGAACCTGGGCAGAGGGAATGCCAGAGGAGGACAAAGACAAGCAACCATCTCATGGAGGATTCACTATTTCTAACATTCAGGAGGAGAGAGCATCTGAAGGCAGTCAAAGTGAAGGGAATGCAGAGGAAAGCTTGCCTTAAAAGCAGCTGATAAAAGACTATTTAGATATTTAACAGTACTTCTGGTGAATAATTTATCAAGAAGAAACTTATTGATAGGCCTTTTTCACAAGAGACATATAGACATGTCACAGTACAAAATGCACAAGTGTAATACATGTCTGAAATTTGCTAAACATCCCACCAAAATACTGTTGCCACACCTGTCAAGCTTTCCAAACCTGCACTGCGCATGCATTTTACATTAACAATGCTAGCAGGTTTATCATCCCAATTTTTTAGTCATTTAGTCAGAAACTATGGGGTGCAGACTGTAAAGTGGTACATACTGAAATTAACGGCAACATCTCCTTTCTTACCAGATTTACAGCAATATTTGTTAACTTTGTCTGTAAAAAATAATAATGTAATGGTAACATTAAATCCAATCTAAATGTTAAATCTAAATATTAAATCTAAGTGTTAAATCTACATGTTAAAATCTAAATCTAAATGTTAAAGCTACATCTAAATGTTAAACATACATGATATTGTGTCAAAGGCCTGACTAAACCTGTGAAAAGTTAGCAGAAGACATAAAAATTAAGAAACTGCATTGTTCTTTAATTGCAGTGTAGTTAGTACTAGTATTAGGAGTCAACTTGAATCCAGTAAAGGACAGAGCAGCTAACATTAGCTCCTTTGACTGGAAAAAACACTACATTTTGGTATTTAGTTACTTAGTTAGTTAGTTACAAACTGTTCAATCCATTCCTTACATTTTTTCTCTCTTGTGTTTTTGGAATTGGAAAGGCTAAAAAAACCTGTTAAATTCTCTTGATGCTCAATGTTTTTGTTATTACAGCCCCATGAACAAAACTGTGCCTTGTTACAGTTGCTGAGCTATGATTGGACAATCAGTGCTGAGGGGCGGGGTTTAGTGAAAGGTCAAGTCCATATACCTTCTTCAGTTTCAGTGTTCTGGTCCTGGTAAACTATTTGTGCAGACTGTCATGGGTTAATGGGACACTTGAATGAGCCATTGTTAGTGCTAATACTAATACATGCGCTTTTCCTATATAACAATTCAAAATGTCTGCTGTGACAAAGGCCCCTTAAATAATCACTGCCTAGATGGATCATGTGTCAATGTGGGTTATCAGTTTCTGTCAGATGCCATGTACTATACATGTATTGACACAAAAATCAGACCCCAGACATGTATTTATTTCTCATATTATTCATGTATCCAACTTTGCATGCATCTCCTTGGCACCACATACACTAACAAACACTTGTTTGTATATGTAGCGGTTTTGAAAAGGGCTACATGTTCAGTTTTATTGAAACAAACAACCCCCCTAATTTTTGGTTAATAATTATGAACTTTACTAACATTTTCATGTACTCTTTATATTGAGGTAATACACCTTTCAGTCAGTAGTAGGCGCTCTGGTGCTGTTGCGGATTTTCCGGAGGGATTATAGTGACAGACTCTGCACAGGTGCAACTCAGAAGTAAACGAGCTCTGGCCTGTTGATCACGCTAACTTTGGTCCTCTCTCTATCAATCCACAGGTAGGCCTACTGTAAAACTCACTTTAGTACTGTTCTAAAACTAATGTAGCAGCGGTGGTGTTGTTTTGAAGTGTGTTCAGAGAGTTTTGAGATGTGTAAGATGAGCAGCGAGTTTGTTTTTGTAGTAGAATGTCTCAGCGTGCGTCGCCATGCTGACGGTAATCGTCACAGGGACGTCAGTAAGCACAGTAGTTTCACGAGTGTATGTACAGACCCTTTCCAAAAAATTAGAATATCATGGAAAAGTTGTTTAATTTCCATAATTCCATTCAAAAAGTTAAACTTTCATAGATTATAGATTCAGGGCCCACAATTTAAACGATTTCAAGTATTTATTTGTTTATTTTTACATAATTTGGGCTTCCAGCTCATAAAACCCACGAAAACAGGAATTCAAAAAATTAGAATACTGTGAAGAAATCAGCCCAAATTTTGCAGGGCATGAATGTTTTAAACTGAGTGTCACACACTAATCATCTACTAAACTCAAAGCACCTGCACAGGTTTCCCCAGGTGTCATTAAATTGCTTCAGTTTGGTTCAATTGTCTCAGTTTGGTTCAATATGGGGAAGAATGCAGACATGACAACTGGCCAGAAGACCATCATTGATACCCTCCATAGGATGGGTAAGCCACAAAAGTTCATAGCTAAGGAGGCTGGCTGTTCACAGAGTGCTGTGTCCAAGCATATCAATGGAAAGTCTAGTGGAAGGGCAAAAGAGATGCCATGGGCTTTCAGCGGATTATCAAACAGAGAAGATTCAAGAATCTGGCAGAGATCCAGAAAGAGTGGAATTGGGCGGGAGTCACAGCTTCACAAAAACCATGACGCATCCAAGGGAGATGGGCTACATAGGGATTCTGGTTCAGACTATTGAACCTGAGCCAACGTAGAAGTAAGACTTAAAGCGAGGAGAGGACTGGCGCTTGGCCAGCTGTCAGGTCCTCTTTCTCGATGAAGTAAAGTGTGCCTTTCATTCGGGAATACAGGTCCAAGGGTTTGGAGGAAGACGGGTGGGGAACAGAACCAACATGCTTGAGGTCCAGTGTGAATATCCAAGTCAGTCTTGATTTGGGGTGAAATGATCCCGGTGGGGCGTGTTCGTTCCACCAACACTCTGCTTTCTTAAATCCAAGGTCACCGCAACAGTCTACCAGAGTGTTTTAGAGGACTTCATGATTCCTTCTGCTGAGGATCTGTATGGAGATGCAGATTTAATCTTCCAGCAGGACCTGGCCCCTGCCCATACCGCCAGAAGCACCAAAACCTGGTTTGATGCCCATGCCATCACAGTGCTTGACTGGCCAGCCAACTTGCCGGACCTAAACCCCATTGAGAATCTATGGGGTATTCTCCATCAAGGAAATCTGGGCTTCCATAACTCCCAGGCAATGCCACAGGCTGATTGCCTCAATGCCACGTCGCATCGAGGCAGTGATTAAGGCAAAGGGATTCCCAACCAAGTATTGAAGATTGACATATCGTTTTGAAAGTACCATATTTTGATTGATTTGATGTGATCCTAATTTCTTTCTTTTTTCTCTGCAAAAACTGAGAAGTAAATGGTGATTTCTTCACAGTATTCTAATTTTTTGAATTCCTGATTTCGTGGGTTTTATGAGCTGGAAGCCCAAATTATGTAAAAATAAACAAATAAATACTTGAAATTGTTTAAATTGTGGGCCCTGAATCTATAATCTATGAAAGTTTAACTTTTTGAATGGAATTATGGAAATTAAACAACTTTTCCATGATATTCTAATTTTTTTGGAAAGGGTCTGTATTTGACACTAGTAATCAGTAACATGCTTAAATATGTTGTAAATGTTGTTAGGATGTTAGCCAGCCAGTAGCGAGTAAATAGGGAAAGGAGAAATCCCACATTTCAACTAGTTTAACTTCCACCGCCATGTCATGGTTGCGCCACATTGTTTGCTGGTCGCTGTGGTGTGCAAGTGTGAGGGTGTGTGTGTGTTGTGGAAAGGTTGTGGATGAGTTTTGATAGTGTTGATGACTGTGTGTATTATATTATAATAGACACTAACGTGTCTGCGATAATAGGAAAGGGTAGGCCTATAACAGAATGAGTCACTCTATATTATTTTTATTATTATTATTTCAGTACTTTAAGTAGACTAACTTTTGTTTACATTGAACATATGTCAAGTTTTTCTGAATTTATATGCCCTTATTTTCTTTTTGTCAGAAGTTTTTGTGTTGCTTATTGTAGTTTTGGTTGTAGAGTTGTTTAATTTATGGATTATGTCACTGTTAATATTATCTGTACCTAGTGAGAATGTGGAGATTGTTAAGTAGGAAGTGGATGAAATTGTGCTCAGAAATAAAGGAGCTCAGACCTGTTCAAGATACTTTGGTCCTCTCTCTATCAATCCACAGTTCTTTTTCTTTATATTGTCTACACAGTGCTCTCCAGGTCCAGATTTCCCCTAGGTCTGGCGCAGGTAAAATATATGTAACACAATACATTTGTGGTTGTGCTAGTGCAATGAAAAGGACTTTTGAGGGATACCAATACAGTCTGCATAAGAAAAAAGACCTCATAATTTGTTTGCCAGCCAAGTGATGACAAAAAGTATTTCATCATTTCTTAAGATCTGATCATCTAAAAAAATAATAAAATAGAAATTAGGTCAACTGCCCTCTGTTCCCCCAGCACTAACTTTAACATCAACATGTCTTTTATTATCTGAACAAATCACAAAAATTACAAAGAATTGCCAAGGGAGCCGTTGTGTGTAAGCTTCTTTATTTGCTGCATTACTAGTCTAAAACATTGCATATTGATTCATTAAAACCTATGAATAAAAGTTTATTTAAATATTATTTATTTAATTTCTACACCATACACATTAAGATAATGCTGTACAGATGAACAAATAGTCTTCAGTGGAAACAGGCCTGAAAGTTCCACTGAACACTCCCTCAATGGAAGGAAGCAATGTGCATGGTTACATACTGAATACATACATACATGCAGGGCTAGCTTCACAGTATGGAAGAGAGGTATGGCAGTTGCTAAATACCACTTTTGAGATTTACTTTAGAGATGCAGTTACTACGGTATATCCATGCCTTTAAAGTTAAAGGGAGTCTGTGAATGACAATGCAGAAAATTCACTAATGAAAGACTAAGAAATAAGAAAACACTGGAATATTGTTTGTCACACTACATAGTTGCAAAAGCTCTGTTATTGTCATCTCATCAAATCAACCTCAGAAGACTTATGAGCTGTCCACTGACAAGTTTAGTCTCCCATAACATTCCTTATTGCCAGTGTTACATAAATACAGTCTTTGTTAAACTTATAAATGTTTCCATATGTGGAACTTCACTGACTTTTGTCTCATCATCACTGTCAAGGCTCAAGGCCTGATGCAGATGAACTTTTACTCTCCTTCTACACTTTTATTTTCTCTGACAGTAAAATAACTACTGACTAGAACAAAGTCACTATTTTAAAGAATCAACTGGATACATTAGAATTTTAATTTTGTAAGGAATACATCATAGTGAGAATGGATATAGGATTTTTTTCTGACTAAATCTGGATCATTGGATGTAGACTGTTTATATGTTTCAGTAATTAAAAAAAAAAAATCTCCTTTGTCCAGCTGCAAATATGATATCTCACCCACTAGTGTCGCTGTTTGAGCATTAGTACAGAGAACAAATGGATTGAGAACAACAGTGGTCGCCCTCTTGAGGGCGCTATAATCCTGGTTCAAATTTACAAAGTTTACACAACCGATCCAATAATTATGAAACTAAGAGGGAAGATGCCTGCGTCATTCAGTGAGGATGAGCTGTTGATGTGACTTTAATGCACGTACATGACCTAATGTGAAATGGTAAAGACTTTGAATACATGTTCTGACATGTCTCTGGAAATTAGTGCTGCATTTCTCTGTTCTATTGTTGTGAATGTGAATATGAGAACAGCCCCAGTTTGCTTGGAAGTTATTGCTACAGCTGTGATAGTCTCAGTTTGTGCCTCTTATAATGACTTCAAAGTGTTGTTAAGAGACCCTAACAGTTTTTCAAACCCCATTAGGACTTTATCAATCGGAAAACAGACACTTAGCTCTGTGACTCAGATGTAATGATAATACACGAAAGGCACAAACTAAAGCTACACCTATGAGAACTTTGTATAGATGGAGGTGTCTGGGTTGTGAGGTGTGGCTCAGACATGGGAGGTGTACAGGTAGGTGTTGTTGATGCTCCAGTCAGGAGGGAATTCCTGCACTGCGTGGCTCTTGATGTGTCTCTGCATGGTGACCAGGCTGCTGCAGAACTCCAGGCACAACGTACACTGGTAGGGTGAAGCCCCACCGTGAGTCCGCAGGTGCTTGATCATGGCTGAGTAGTCCCGTGAGCGTTGACCGCAGAGACGACACTCGAAGGGTTTCTCCCCTTGACGCAGAGAAGAGAGAGGATAGGGGGCCACAGGAAGGAAGGCAATGGAGGGGGGAGAGAGGTGTGATCACTTGAGAGGGGGTATTATACGTTTGGCAAATCTGCCATTGTTCTACCATTTGTTAAATATATATCCTGCTATATTGCTGTTGATTGCTTAATTCATGGTAAAATCAACTAAATTGAGCCACTTTTCTTCAACTCATCTAGATGTTCACTGAAATATTTACGCACAACTTACATGTCTTAAGTCGGATCTCTTCTATGATTGTGTGTTGATGTAGCAAAATACAAAATAGACGGGCAGATATCAAATTCATCATTATGAACAAAAATTGAATTAATAAATGCATGTGAGTATGTAGTTATATAATTCATATTTAATTGATCGAATTCCAAATAGAAGTAACATTAAAATGATTGGAAAAAGAAGCACTATATGCAAGGTTTGCATCTGTCAGCCTTAATACAAACTTTAATGTTTTGTCCACTGGTTTCTGTTACATACACTCATACATTAAATACTCTCCCATGTGCAGAGAAAATTGCTCGAATTGCAGGTAATCTGTGACAATTGAATAAGTAGATTTGCATGTTGCATGGTAATAGAGTTCTAATGGCACACTTGTTTGAAAATTTTGAATTGCATTATTAATTGCTATCATATGAAAATAATAGTAATAGTAGTTTTTACCGCAGTTAAAGCGGACATGATGTTTACTGTATGCTTGATGGATTTTCTTTCTCACAAGTTTCAAGTCTGCTAGTTTCAAGTCTTTGAAAAGTGAGTTTCATATTATAATGAATGGAAACCGTAACCTGCCTGCAAGATGGTCAAAACACAAAACATGACAGTTTACTTTGGAAGATGTTCGAAGGCAATGCAAAGCATACGTGCGTCGCAGTTAATGGTCTAAAACATGTAGAAGTGTTGTCTCGCTGTATAGTGTTTAATAAAAGCAACACAAAAAGAAAACATGGGCTCCAAAGACAGAGTAATTATTCAAACATCTATAAGAGCCAATGAAAATTAGTCATAAATCTCTTCTTTTGCGTGGAACTTGCCATGCTATGCTAACAGCTAACCTGTTTCTGACCTGTCTGTCTTTATAGACAAGTCCCATTAACCTAAGCAGCCTCAAACCAATCCTATTGTTATTTCTGTAATTACTATAGTCACTTTGTAACTGGCTTTTGGACACAAATATATATATGAATATCAAATATCAAAATTCCCTTTAAGATTGTTTGTAGTTTTTGCTCTGTCCCACAATATAAAACAAAGATTAGTAGCTATCATTGTGGGCAGGTATAGTCTTTGACTCTAACGTGAAACACTAAAATTTAGATTTCTTCCTTCACTTTGCAATATCAAATTGACTTGATAGTGAATGGTAAATGGTGTGCTTACCGGTGTGAACTCGGTGGTGTGTATCCAGTTGATGCTTCAGACTGAACCTTTTGGGGCAGTGTTGGCACTGGTAGGGCTTGTCCCCTCTGTGGTCTGGTCGATTGGATTGTGGTTCATGCTGCACGACATCTCTTCCTTCACAGAATTGACACCCTGTGCAGGCCTCACCTGCGCAAACAACACGATGAGGCAAAACAGGTGAAGGTGTGAACACTGCGGTGGGCAGAATGGCCTGGCTGTTCACAAAAACACCATTAGAATTGTCTGTTTATTGTCAGGCTCTAGTCCTTATACACGTCCGCATTAAAAAAACAATGAGTTCTTGCAGTCCGCCAAAATGATCAGTGACTTGCAATAAAGTGAACTGAATTCATTGTAGAGCAGCAATGATGAGAATAATTAATTAGTAGATCGACAGAACTTCACTCGGCAAATGATCTAATTGATAAATCATCTAAGTCCCTAGTGCAGCTTCTCCAGTGTGATGCATTTCTGCTTTTGTTGTTGGTTGAATAAAACATGACATTTAATGACATCACTTTGGGCTCTGCAGACCTATGGTGAGCATTTTTCTCTTTTTTTCTAACATTTTATTGACCAAACTATCAATGGAGAATAATGAGCAGATTGATCAATAATGTAGCTATAATTCATTTGTGAAGGCTGTTTTTGGCAGCCACACTCAGGGTTATAATGCTCATTGTGACCTCCTTGATTCGACCAATTATTTACCAAAAAAGAGAGAGAGAAAAAAAAAAAAAAAAGCATATTGCATGAACTTCAGAGCAGTTTTTGGTCTGCATCCTGTTGCAAAAGAATAAATTCAGTACTTTCCTGTTACTCTGCACATGTGTTGTCTGCCGCCACGCATCTTGGTGATTGTTTTAAAATTACAAAAGGTGTGATTTTGAGGTTAAGGCTCTGAAGCCTCTCAGTTGCTACCTTTTATATATAATTTTTTTTTCTTTTTTTCGGGGGGGGGGGGGGGTTCTGAAGAAAAAAACATGGGCCTCATAGTATAGACAGGATGCAGAAATATGAAGGGGGTGTATACTGTAGTAGGGGAAATTGAAAGAATAAACCACAACAATTGAACACTCACCAATCTTCATAACCTATAGTGAGATCTGTTGTCATTAGCATGTTTCCTGTCCAATACTTCCCTTCAGTTCTAACTTTAAAAGACCAAATATCTTGTAAAGATAATAATTTCAAGTTTTAGCCACTATCAACATACACAAATATCATTTAAGTGAGGGGAAAGGATAATAAAAAATCACCTAAAAACACTGAACATCGGTGATTAAATGCTTCATTTACACTCTTTGACTACATGTTTTTACACGTTTTACGTCGTAAAGTACTAGATTATATATTAAAGACTAATTGGTGACGTTGCTTGCTGCCGTGCAGTGCGACATTTGTAAAGCACAGTTTTAGAGTATTCGCTTGCAGTATGAACATAATGTTCCATTGAGCAGATAGGTAAACATATTTATCAGCTTGATTGTACAAGACGAAAAGATCTTAGCACGGATATGCACACACACACACACACACACACACACTAACACACAGAGACTTTTCGTGGAGCTTATTTTGTGCTTTTGCATTGACTTGCTTATTACTTATTATAAGAATTTATGATAATAAATCCATATGTATGATTTTTGTTTGGCATAGGACAAACCGCTGTTGCGATGCAGTACATACTGTACTGCATGTATCTAGCTGTATCTAGTAACCACACTATTGCTCCTGCTGCACCATGCTCTCAAAACCACAACTTTCTTTATCACTTTCCATTGCGTAGCTAAGTATCATGAGTCTGCCGAGGTTAGGGGTCATGACAAGAACTGTCTTGCTGTCTTGTTAAATTGATCAGTTTTGGGCAGAATAACCACTGCTACAGCCTTTATCTCACTGTATAGTAATGATACTATGTTCAGTTAGTTATTGCTAGCATTAAAAAACAGTAAGTGTTCTGTTTGTCTTCATAATCATATCATTACCTGATGGTGTGGAGGCTGACTCCCGCAGCACTGGATCACCAAGGAGGCTTGTTTTGCAGTGTTGGCAGTCTTTAACTTTCTCTGTGCTGGCTTTGGGCACTTGAGGGTAACTGTGGAAAAGAAATGGTTTTCTGATGCAACAGTTGTAGGATACAAAACTGCACTAATTGCACCTGTTACAACAATAAAGAAACTTCTTATCCAAGGTACTTCACTGGAGAAATATACAAGTAAAAGTCTTTAAGTATCACAAAGTCTGCATATATTTTACATGTGATCACAGATTACATGCTTAAACACCCTTTCCTTCCTCTCTTTCCTCAGCCACAAGATATTTATAGCACCCTTTCAAGGTAAAAGCTCATTTAACTTTCATGTAATGTGAGAGTAGAAGCAGCAGGATAATGAAAAGACACTGAAAGAGTAGCTATTTTCCACAAAGATGTTTTGAGTGATGTCTTGTGGTGCAGCTGTGACCAGTCTAAACACTGAAACTGTGTTTCAGTGGGTGGAAAATCTTGAATTCTGCAAAGGAGGGGAGAAATTTAGGGGGGTTCCCTTTTATACACTGTTTAGTTATACTGTGTGGAAGACTATACAATATGCATAGACTTGAAAAAAGGAGGAAAGTCACTCAAAAACAAGTCAAGTGGGTTTTCAAACTATTTAACTTTACCACTAAAAGATAGTGGTAATTTTTTTCATGAGTACGGAAAATGATGATTTGTTTCAATCAACAAAACAAACAAACAAAAAAAATTAAGATTTAATGAAAATTTAACTTGTAGGTCTTTTCCTCTCTTGGTTTGAAGTATTAATAGCATTAAAATTTGTCAGAAACTCGTTTGACTGACTATGACGGACAGGGAAGGGTTAAGAGGTGAAACTGCTCTAGTTGGAAAGTGCAGAAGGCTCAATCACACACATCTACCCAAACAGCAGTGAGTCAGGTGCAGTAGCTGTCGCAAGGGAACAACTGAGCTAATTAGGGGATTCTAAATGACTCTGTGAGAGGAAAATTAGGGAGACAATGACTGAAAATAAAAAACTGAAGTTTCCAAAATCATGTCCAAGAACTGACTTACCTTTGCTCAACGCTTTGAGCAGCCTCGGTAAATGCTCTCTGGCTGGGTTTTTTTCTTTTTAACAGGCCTTGCTTGATAATGGTTCCCATCCCTGAAGATCCAGCGTAAAGGTTTTGTGTATAATGTGGATAAAAGCTCGAGTAGCCCATTACAGAGTTGTGAACTGGGTTTTGAAAATGGTGGCCCAGTAAGGGGAAGATGTGGGGTGGACTGGAGAGGGAGAATGGGTATGCTACAGAGGACTGATTTGGGGACTGACGAGGATGTGCTGCAATTAAGTTTGAATAGTTTTCTGCTATCCGCCTCAGGGTGGTCACAGAGTTCCACATGTTTGTGGAGAAAGTCCAGGGAGAGGAGAAAGAGGAACTGCTGGTGGCAGGTCCTGCAATAACACTGTCTCTGTTGTAGGGTTTTGATGACATAGGGGACAGTCTGGGCTTCTTTCTTGGGGATGACGAGCTGTTGTGGTTCTTAGCAGAATCAGGATGTGAAAGATTTTCTATCACGACGCTGTTGCTTGCTTCCTCACCTGTCGAGGAAGCCTCTTGAAGTTTCCCCTCTTGAACTGGACTTTCTTTTTTCTTTTGATCCATCTCTTTTGCACTTTCTTTTTCTTCTTTGACATCTGTCATTTCTCCTCTTTTGTCCTCGTTGCTGGCTCTGGAGTCGAGGGTATCCAGCTGTTTCCGGCACTGGTCTTCTAGCGACTCCATCTCCAACAGCTGGGCAGCTCTCAGGAGCAGGTTCAGATCTTCCACAGACACCTCAAGAGCCTGCATGTAGGTGAAGTCAAGGACCTGCTGGAAGGTGCGCGGTGAGAAGTACTCCAGTGTGCAGCGGGCTGGGCAGTCTATGTCACCTTGGGCTAGCTGCTGTGCCAGTCGTCTACTAGCACAGGCCAGTACTAGCCGATGAGCCCTGAATGTATGACTCTTTACTGAGATGATGGCATCGCAGAGCGATCCTGAGCGACGTAAAGCATCGGCCTGCTGCAGGAAGTGGAAATATTGGGTGTTGTTGATTCGGATCATTTCTGAAGCTTGTAGAAATGCTATCAAAAGTCTGAGAAAAAGAAAGTCAAAGGAACAAAAAAAATCAAAAGCAAGATCCGATTAGATTATGCCCACACTGTGGTAAAATTAGTTCCATCAATTTGCCAATTTGTTACTGGCTATGTGACATTTCTAGACAGGCTAGACTGTAAGTAGGAAAATTACTTTGCAAACCAACAGCAGGAATTGGCTTGTGATTAACTGATGAAATGATTCTCTGTGGTTTGTACTTTTTTTTTTTTTTGTTTCACCCTTTCCAGACACCATTACCTGTAGTGGGAGTTGAGGGGGCAGAATGTAGCCAAGGAGATTTCATCATTTGTTTATATTGTTATAAGTTGGTGTAATAGTGAATCCGACTTTCAACTACTTTGCAAAACACCATATATTTTTATTTTAAAACAAGTAACCCACCCAAAAAATTATATATTCACAAACAGCAGAATGCACACAATTTGTTTTTATTAGACTCAAACCTGCAGAAAAACTTTCCTCAATCACAGCATTGTCTGATATTATGTCTGAATGTCTGGTTGATGTGTGGAAATGTACTCAGTTTTCTGAAAGCTTTGATATTCAGCACTCACATACACACTCTGAAGCCACAAAGCCCTAACAGTATATGAAACCATGACTAATGACTGTACACTCAAGTAAACATGAGTAAGTTTGAACAACAACAACAATAAGACTAGGTATTTGGGCACCATTAACATCAACTGCAAGTGTGCTCAGGGGTGGAATATGTAAATATGTAAGTATGTTACAGAAATAAGTGGAATTTTACATCTAAAATTGAGAATACATGGACGAAAACACTGTAGTTGTATGTTGAAAGTACCGGATGCCTGAGAGGTTGTCATCTTCACACTGTCTGAAGTCTATAATGAACTTTTATGATTATACAGTGTGTGGTTGGTTTCTGCAGCAGAGGTCACAAGCACTGAGCTATTACAGTTTTTTTTTTTTTTTTTTTTTTGCACCGTCGCAACCCCATTCAGTCCTCCGATGTTGACTGTAAATGGAAAGTAGATGTGAAACGAAATGACATTTAGTTGTCTATACTTACTGGAATTTTTTGCACATGCATTTTTACAGAGTCTCAAAATCTCTCTCCCTCTTTCTCTGTTGTTAATCAAATTAATTTTCTCTTTCTGTTGAAAAATCTTCTACCGGAGATCATTTATTCCAAATAATGTTTTAATTATTGTATATACCTTGAGATATGTTCAATATAATTTTCGCTTGTTGTAACATATTTGTCACTAATGTTAATTTTGGTGTTTATTATGAATTTGGTTCTACATTGTACGTAGGTGGTACGGCTGAGAGTGAAAATGACAGTAGAGCGGCTCCAGTATCAGAAGTAGAAAGCCACTTAGATTTACTGTATTTGATAAGTACAAGGTTTCAGTTTAATGTTTATTTATTACCATTACAAAAAAGGTCATTACACTTACAAAATATTGTAATATTGAGGGCACAGGGTTGAGAACACATATTGAAATTGCAAACCAAGCACGCATGAGTACAGTGAAGCCTATTGTCTGCGTACGTGAACATACAGCAATACTGTAGACCCGTTTTTATCACGCCATTTACGGCATTCAAAAACTTCGCTCTGCCTGATCAAAAATGTTACATAATGCCTATATGTTACGTCATATAACTTAGGCCAGTGTATCAAATTTATTGAGTGTTATTAATTAATTTTTTTAAAATCTCGAATTAAAATAACTTGGTAATTGGTCATTTCAACTCATGATTTTACCATCACGTACTTCTACTACTGATAATAGTGATAATGATGATGATAATAATAATAGTAATAAAATATAGTCGCGTATTAGTGGTCATAGCAGCTGCACTATGACAAAAAATAATGAAGCGCGTTGTTTCAAATGCGTTTCTTGATTAATAACTTATTTTAATGCACAAGCAGATACATTTATAGTAGTGCCATGTGTTGTTGTGTAATATACAAACCTAGAAGAGGGATGTTAGGATGTTGAGGGATGTTTTCTTTTTTTATTTGCAGAGACAGGTCACAAATGTTGCCGTATTTCAGTGATGACTGCCAATTCATGAACTTTAGCTTCAGCTATTTATTAGATTGTACTTTCAAATATTACTGCTGTCTTCTTATTCGCATTACTGTGATGCTACTGACGCGCACACGTATGGTCTCTAATTTTTGGTAATTTGTTGAAGTAATGCATGTAGCGGTGCTCTCCTGAGCCTGTAAGCCTTTAAAGTCAATTCTGCTGTTGTATTGTATTCTGTTCTATTTTGGTTCAAGGCCTTGCTAACCTTGTCTAAATCTTTTTCATCTCTTATCTTCAAAATACATTTGGTTTTGTTTATAATCTGGCTTGTGCAACAACCAAATTCCCCCTGATGCTTCTCAAATCTACAATACACTCTTGCACAGTTGTGACATAGTTAGCAAGTCTTTGAGCTCGTTGCAGTCACAGTACTATCTCATTGCATACATAGGGGAAAACCATGCATGCATATGTCAGATTTACACATCCTTTGACAGGACATGAATTTAGAGTCAGCCTCCCCACAGCTCGCATGTACAGGACTGGAGTCACAAGACAGAAGCCAGATCTGAAAGTCTCCACGGGCAACAGAAGATCAATAGCGGCACACTGGGTTCCGTTTACAGTAGATCACAGAAAACACAGCTAAAGAGACCAAAGATGAGCAATGTTGAAGTGTATCTGCTTGTGGTTTTCAGTCTCAGAAAATTAAGAAGCAGCTAGGCGTGTGAATGAGACACTTACCCGGTGTTTAGCGAATATTCTCCCTGGGGGATGACGAGCTACCTCGCATCATGACTGTGAAGTGACTTGTAAAGTGACATGTCTGGGTACATGTTTTGCTGTAGGACAGGGTGGTTTCCTCTTCTACAGTCCCTCCTCTTCCACTCATCTCTCCCTCATTGGCTCATTGATTACTGAGCCAAATGGTTTGCTTTTTGTGATAAAGATGGAAACTTTAGTAGTAGTACACCAGTACTTTGCAGTATTTTGTTTTGTTTATTTTGTTAAAATGATGGTGGAAGTTTTACTATTTAATACTCTGTAGTTCTTGTCTTCCATAGATAACATACAGTGTATTGAAAATGCATGCAAAACACAAACTACACAGAATTTTTTTCTTTTTTTAACAAAATGATCAATCTCTCTCTCTCTCTCTCTCTCTCTCTCTCTCTCTCTCTCTCTCTCTCTCTCTCTCTCTCTCTCTCTGTGTGTGATTGAGAAAGAGGGAGAGAAACGGGGACAGTGGTTAGAGGGATATTTGCGTGCCCTTCAGATGCTGTATGCCTGCATGATTTCCTCCCCTCCAGCATCTCTTGCTGGTCACTACATTAATAAGCCCTTCTGTGCTCAGACAAAAACCACTTCAAAGACAATGATCTGTGACAGGAAACATACAGACAAAAGCCCAGAGGTGCCGATATGCAGGGTGAGGCTGCACTGAAACCTGCACCCTCAAAATAGAGATAACTCCTTTGGTCTTTCGCTATGTCAGACATCTGTAAAAATAGGCCAACTGTAGAGAGCTGGTCAGTTTAGCAGACCTCTAAGGTTGAGTACATTATGAATCCTTTGTCTGCCTTTAAAGCTTTACTTGGCCATTACTATTGCGACCTGTAACATGGATCTCTGAGGCGGTAGACAGGTAGTGCTTTGGTGGGGCACCTGTGTGCTGCAGAAACAATTTGGTTTAATTCAAGATTTAGTCATTTGTGAACTTGTGTTTTGAATTTAACTTATACTCATTAAGTAAAATTAAAAAGAAATGATAAAAAAAAAATCATCACTAATGGCATTAATTATTGTAATGTAAATTATAATAGAATATGAATGCTATAAGGCATATTGTCTGTATATTTAGATAAACTTGTATATTTACCATATGGTAGGAATTATTTTAATTTGGAAACTTTAATTGTATAGTCAAGGCCCAGCAGTTAGGTGGTTTAAAAAAAACTGTGAACCACTGTCAGCGTAGCAACTAGTTGGTGAAGACAGTCAAACGTCTAGCTGCTAAAAACCCAGTTATTTTCTCAGGCGTTGGTGGTGAACAAAAATGGAGCTAAAAGGAGCATGAAAAGTGCACTTCCATTAATCAGCTGGTCAGAGTCATGGCTACAAGTGAGTCCTAATGTTGTACGGTATGTGTAAACAAGTGTTGTCTAGAAACCTTGGCTGTCTTGTGAGGTTTTTCTGCCCCAATGTTGTCTCATAGAGAGAGAGATGCATTCAGTAACAACCAGGCCTGTTGTAAGTGTAGACAGAATAAAAATGTTGATTACAAACTTAAATGAAAAATAAACACCAAACACGGTTCGCCAAAAGTGCTCTCTGTAGTTTCCTTTTCAACAGCTGGGATAGACTGTAGCTGGGAAAACTGCAGTTGGAGAACAGATGGCAGTGTTTCTGATGCAATGAAATCTGATTAATAGGAGGGAGTGTAAGCTCATGTAATATCACATGGAAAAAGCCCTTTGAAGTCACATCTGGACTGAGAAGCAGCAGAAGGAAGAGAGAATGATTATGTGGTAAAATATTATTGTTCATAGTAGAGATTCTGATAGCAACATTTTTGTGCGAATTGTTATTTATGTTTTAAACTTTAGACAGTGAAAAAGTTCCTCTGCTTGCTGTTAATCACCATGTTTACTTTTATTGAAACTGTGAACATAATGTAACTCCATTTTAATTATGTATTTGAAATTTGATCGACTAAGCAATGGGTAATCACTCAGTTGTCTGTGGATTTGTGGATATCTGTTAAGCATTCAGGTAAATTCTTTATAGAGCTGAGTGCCATCAGCATAGCCGTGAAAATGAATGCTAAATGTACAGATGCTATTTTAGAGGCGTACAGTGGATTTAAATGAATTTGCACACAGAGCTTTGTGATGCTTAAACTTCACAATACAATTACTTATTTAGATACAACTAAATAGACATGCTTCAAGTATGCAGGAAATATAGGAAGAGATTTCAGATAGCTCGGAAGTTTCAGTAGCTCTGATGCATACACCAAAGTTTGGTTTTGGCTGTTTAAAATGTCATTTCATACAGGTTGACAAACTTTACATTCATTTACCTCTAACTCCAGTTTTCTGTACATCCGTTAAAATGTTCAGTACCGTAAACCACAGTACTGGTTTCTTCGAACAGGGATTTTTTTTGTAATTCAGTGAAAACAAATGAATTGTGTTAAGCGGGGTGATATTTCATCATCACAAATTAAAATATTACTCATCTATAGAGAGTTGAATTTTGAAGGAATCATTTTTTTTTCATACAAGCACTGTGGAGATCAAGGGAAGAATTCACTATGAGGTACAGTACTCATGTGTTTGGCTTTAAACAGGTCTCGTCTACAGTATTCAACACTATGCTCTTTAATCAGGCCATTAATTAGTATTGCGTCAGTGGAAAGTGATCCAATATTGATAAGGCTCGTCTTTAGAAGTTGTCTAAATTATAAACTAGGTCTACTGCATTATATGTCGGCCTCATTACAGTTAGCTTTATATGATTAGTTTCTGATTACAGTGACGGACAGTGACAAGTGATATGTGAGTCTGGTTGGGAGGAGACAGTCTTAACGGAATATTATGTATATCTAACCCCACACATTCTTTTGCTCAGCGAGTTCTTATATCAAATCTCTCAAGTAACTGTCCGCAATATATTCTGTATGTTTTATTTGATCATTATTGAGGAGGAGTATATATAGTACTAAAAGTGCAGTTACATTAATAGAAATTATGGTTGCCAACAAATGATCTCTTCTTCGCTTCTTTGGGTATCCACACAAAACGGTGTGGATACCCACCAAGTGTGCAACATACTGTATGCTGTCGACATGGCACCAAACCAGTAAACTATATGACTTATCAAACATCTAATCGTGTGATTGTATGGTAATGTTTGTTGTTTTTTCCTGAAGAACAACTTACAAAAAAAAAAAAAGAACTGATCACAAGGGTAACAATGTGTGAGAATGTTGTCTGTTTTCTTTCTGTCATGAAACAAAATGTTATACACAAAGCAACATTTAATTTTCCAGATAAATTCCACATATACTTCCACATATACTATACTATCTAAAAGATATTTTGGTGCATTACCCTCCATTTTCCCGGCGCAGTGATGTTTCTGTATCATGAATACAATGAGCAAAGGTGCTGACGAGTTTTTAAGCTTTTATTCTGGAAATCATCTTGTGTGCTATACATTACACAGGTGAACGTTTAAGAAAATATGTGGCACTCTGAGTGGCTGCGAGGAACACCCCAAGTTGCATCTTTGTCGCTCATGCACAGACACAAGTTAATAATCCCTTATATTGTGTAACCCGGTTACGGTTAATGTTATCACTTAAAGTATGCAAAAGTTGCTGTGAGGTACAGCTAAATTTACTCCTCTGAGAATATGTAGTAGTTAAACTTGAGTCCTTCTCACCTATATTGTCATGGAGGATGCATGTAGTGTTAACCACAAGGTGGTTTCCTTGTAATTTTCCTTGTTATGACAGGTCGACATGTTGATGCATTAGGAGAGGTGTAATGCTGACATTTCTTCATTCTCTTTCTTTCTTTCTCTCTCTCTCTCTCTCTCTCTCTCTCTCTCTCTCTCTCTCTCTCTCTCTCTTATAGATTTCCTCCAAAGTTATTATCCCATTTTGAGTGGATGCACCTTGGTGGATTATGTCTTGTAATGTAGCTGACCATCCATGACAACTTAATCTCTTTCTCTTTGTGTGTGTGTGTGTGACTTTTGATGCCACTGTGAAACACCTTGATCTGCGCGTGCAAACAGTTATCGTCAAGTATTGCTCAAACCACTGGACAGTCTGACCTCATCTATTCCTCTCAGAGAAATTAGCATTATACCAACACTTAAATGTCATCTCGTTCTATATGGTAAGGAGACAGCCGAGCTGATGCATAGGGCTTCACCTTCCAGTAATATCAAGACTGTAACCCCCCCCCCCCCCCCACACACACACACACACACACACACACACACTTCACTCTTCGGCACCTGCAATCCCCTCACTGTCAGTTGAACAATCACCATCAGGCTCCCTGCTCAGCATCAATGCTGACTCACTAAACTGTTGTAACGGTGTGTGGGTCTCATCTATGAACAGCAAGCATTAGTGTGTCCTCAAGCACCCACACATCTCATGTGATGACAATGATGTGTTTTTTTTTTTTTTTTATTTGTTTTTTTTTTTTTAGTTCACTAAGCACACAGCTCTTGCGATAACATCTTTGATCTACCTACCAAGGTTTTTAATCTCTGCATACGAAGGGGTTTCATAATGTTGTTTTGTTGAATGAATCAAAGTGTTACGGTACTAAACAAAACGCGCACTCAGACTGTGATGTGATAAAAGTCTGGGTTAATATGAGTCGTCTTACATTACCACAGTGGCTGTATGTGAGCAGTTGACTTCAGAGGAACCACTATCAAGATGACTGGTGTGCGCTGGAGGCATCAATGGTAAACTGTCACTGTACAGCCACAGAGCCTTTTCACAGTAATCTGGGTAAGCAGGACTACCCGTCAGTGTTGTGGTTTGGAAGAAGTGAACCTGTGCAGGGCTAGGGGCTGGGGCTTGAACTTCTTTGTAATTTGTGGGTGAAGGAAGTGTGGAGCCTACCCACGCAAGTGACTGTAAGATTAAATGCTGCTTGGGAACTATGTCAAAGCAACTTATTAGTTGATTTTAAGGAGGGTCTTGTGTGTATTGGCGCATATCACACTATAAAAGTTCATTTGATTTGATTAAAGCAGTCATTTGCTTAGAGATGACTGAAAATGAACACACGCCACAGCAACAGTATATCATTATGTACATAAGTGTTTTGGCTCTGGCACCTGATACACACAGCTTAATATGTGGGCTTTAAAAACTGAATGAAACGGAATTCATTGAAACATATATGTTGTTTCTTCGGCTTGATTGAGGTCAGTGAGGTTACATGCATCATAAGTAGCCTGACATAGGAAATGAGCTGCAAATTTGGCTTCACAGAAAAGACACTGTGGCTTAAGGAGTCACTGAAACTCCATTCTGTGAACTGAGAAAAAAACTTATCTTACTCTTGGTGAAGATTTGTATCTTATAGAAACTTTTACTATCAAATCTACTATATTACGTCATTGCTTGATACACAAACGAGCAGGTGTCGAATTTCAAACTCTATCATCATTATTGCTGTCAAGTTGTGCACCGAGGTAAACTTATCTGGGCATTCGGTGATGAATCAAATTGGGATTTGTATTCTAATGTAGCAGAAATAAATATTTTTTTAAGAGCACTTAAGGTTTCTTTTTCCAAAGAAATACAACTGAGGAAATGCAGAAAGAAAAACCCCATTTTCCAGTGAGTAAGCAAGACAGTTTCACCCTCTTGATTGTGGCTTTTACATCATAGGGCTCATTACAAAGGTAGTATCATGGATATCGCGTGAATGTTGCCTCTGTGAGATGTCAGAAAAAGAAATGTGTACATTAAGAAGAAAACTCACACAGCCAGTATTTTATGGGTCACTTGGTTTTTTATTTTATTACACTATTAATTAGCTCGACCAGTTTTAATTTCTCAGATTGCTTGCAAATACAGTTACACAACAGAGAACATTTTTGCCCAATTAGTATATCTGTCTGCTTATTTGTGGAGCATGTCTTTGGTTAAAGGTCTGAATGAAGATGAAGAACAGCTCTCAATGATGCCATCAGCATCCCTAGAGTCAATGCAGTATAATTGAAATCGGACAGAATCAATGTCTACCATTTAGCAACCTGTACACAAATGGAGTAATTTGGTTCTACTTGTGCTTAGTGCCACTCCTTGTCAATTAGGCAGAGGCCATATGTCTGTCTATATTTCACATTTCTGAATGTTATAAACTTGTCAGTGTTTTCTCATACAAGCTTCTAAAATTACATTACAGGTGAAAAGCATGACCCTTGATCCAACTGATTATTACATACAAATAAAAAATACAGAATAATTACATCCAAAACACAGCATTGTAAAAGGCAATAATGCAGCAATTAAAATCTCAATAACATTGTTTATATTTTGTCGGGAAGTAAGGGGACAGACCAACAAAGAAGTCTAGAATTCGACAGAGGACATACGTACAAATGTGATTTGAGTAACTACAGTATACACCATTCTAAGTCTGCTAAATGCTGGTAGGAAACCTTCAGTGGTTTGGGAAACACAGGCAAGCTTATTCTCATCTATGGTTTCAGTAGTATCATTACAAGATCAACTGACTTAAACTGTGAACATACAACGTTTTCATTCACTAACTTAGCTGTACAAATTATACAAGGGCTATGACTTCTCTTCACCTGTCATAACACAGCCGCAACCTGCAATTAACCTGCCTAACGAGACAAACGGAAGATTAATGCTAAATCAAAACATCGATAGTCAGACTCTTTTGCTTATTTCAGAGCAAAATGTACAAAAAGAAAAAAAAAAAAGTTACAAGTAAACAACTTTTCATCTGAATGGACAAATGCAGGTTTTTTTTTTTAAAGAAAACTTCCACCGATAAGAAATAAATAAAATATGAACTCATTTTGGTATGGATTATCTCTACTACAGCGTATAGTTAAAGACTGATGAACAAAAAGCAACATCCCACAACGTGACCTTTCTTAACCAAGATGGTCTGATAGAATTAAGTGGCTAAAGGAAATCAAACTGACACACAAGTGGCTCACAATCAGCCTCAAAAAAGGGGCAATCCCTTTTTACTTACCTATACAGGGTACTATGTTGATCATAATTATGACAAACTACAATGAGTCATTTAGTGAAACGATATTTATGAAGAGAGTAAATTTGATATAGCATCTTCAGAGTACTAACATTCAATGTTGTTGAGTCCAAAGATGTCAAACTGGCAGATTTAAACATGTACATTATGTTTCACTACTACCATGCCTGAGTGTGGTTTGTTAGGACTTACTGCACACACTGACACTTCACATTACTTTAGCTGTGGCCTCTCTACACACTGCCTACGCTTTAAGGTCCTCCGCTCTGATACACACCTGCCAAATGTGAAAATGAACAGGCTGCTACAGGAAGTGATGAGAAGGGCATCAGGCATGTAGTCAGTCTGTTGGTTGTGTTGCTAATCCTATTAAGGTCTACTAGGGGAATGATGCGTTACTGAAAAGAAGATGGAATCTCAATGTCTACCTTAAATACATTCAGAAAGAAGTTACTGTGTCGTTGTCTTGTGCTGGTTTTTACAACAGTCCGTTTTCAATCAGCCATGTTAGGAAAGTGTTTCTCCTTCTCGTAACAGCACAATGTACTATTGTTATTTATTATTCCATTACATCAATGCAAATTAATCATAGAAATGTCTACAACTAGTCGTATGTATTTCTTACGTTATTTACAGTGTCCATTTTGAACAGTGACATTTCCGACTTTTCAAAAGCAATGACAGGAACAACACAAATAAATACAGCAGTGTCATACACCAAGTTGTCATGCTTTCATTAAAATAACGGACTTCTGATTATTATTCTGTTTTACAGCTCTTTAGGTAGCAGTACAAATAAAATAAACTCATTCACTGACTAAATTAGCTAAATGGAATATTTGGTATATTTTGCCAAATAATCAATAATAATATTGAGGGCAGATCCTCACAAGTCAAAACCATGATGTTTTTTTTTTTTTGTGTTTTTTTTTTGTACCACCAGCATACAGTTCTGTATTGACTAGCGTGGTCTTTTTGGCCTTCTGTGTTTTAAATTAAAGCCTAAATGTCTCACACATTCAAAGTCACACCTCCACATCCTCGCATAATGTCTTAATATTAGAGGTGCTCAGTGTTACAGTAGCCCATGGAGGTGAGGTTAGTCTGACAATTAGCTTGGTAATTGCCCTTTAATCTCTGAGTGGGTTTGAAATTCAGAATTACACCATAATTAAACTAGGCTGTCACTCACACTCATCTACACAGATACATTATAGCTAACTGTGGTACAATTTGAACAAATAGACTACTACTGAAAAATAAATACTATAAAGCATTATGCACCGTTCAACTTCAGTTTCTAGTGAGGAGCAATAGATCAAGTCATGCCACTGGGATGGTTTTTCCTGTCTACGATGTGAATGTTTTCAGGATTATGAAATGTTGTGGCACCGCTAATGGAAGGAACAATCCTCAGACTCTAACCCAATTACAATAGGTGATGTGAGTTTGTATTGTATCTCATTTTTCACATTCTGATAATGATGATAAGTTGCTGTTGGTCATTTACAATGGGTTTGGGATGTACCCCGTACTTATTCAGTTACTTTAAGTTTTCAACACATGATAAATCCGTCAAAGGGAGTGTAGCTGGGACACCACTGTAAGGAAGATTGGGGGGGGGGGGACAAAACAAGTGGTCAGGCATGACTTGTTGGCAGCCCCAGTACCTCAGTTCATCTGTTCAAAGAATTTGTAGGTAGGGTTTTCATAGCCATGGTTTTGCATTTTGTTGAGCTGTCGTTCCTCTGGTGTGAGCATGGGGTCGACCTGCTGCGAGAAACACAAGGGCTTGAATTATTACACACCAAAGACAGGTTCATGAGCAAGGACCACACCAGCAACTGAGAGGGCAATAAAGTGTTTATAGTACATATGTATGACTTCGGCTTCGAGAAGGATCAGCTAAAATTATATTCAAACAAATATTACAAGCAATCATCATCATCATCAGTAGTTAATCATCAACTCCCTGAGTTTGACATTTTGGGAAGTATTGATATTTACTTACTTGCCAAGAGTGAGATGAAATGTTTAGTAATGCTCTCATGTCTGTATGGTAAGGAGTATGTAGCTGGAATCATCAGCCGGTTAGCTTAGCTTAGCATAAACATGGAGAAACAGCTATGGCTGTCTAACAGCATCACCACCCCTGAAGCTGACTTTTTGGGCGACTACGGCACAAGAGGTCGTCCACTATTCAGTGATTAAACCCCCACTCCTCTCAAAATGAGGTCTCCTTGGGCAAGATACTAAATCCCAAATTGCCTCTGATGTCTCAGTGTGTGAATGAGTGTGTGTGTGTATGTATGTATGTATGGTAAAAGCGCTGTATGAGTAGTAGAAAGCGTTGTATGAATGTGTGTATGAATGTCTGAATGTGGCTTGTAGTGTAAAGCGCTTTGAGTGGTTGATAAGACTTGCAGTCCATTTACCATTTAACATCCTGTATTTTGTTTGTTTAATTCGTACAAGAATCAAACTGTAAATAATCTCCATGTTACATGGGTTAAATGCTGGACTACTTCTTATATAAGAGTAGTAACTGGATGTCTGAAAGCTGCTCGTGCAGTTTCTTTTTACCTTTGGACAGAGCCACACTAGCTGTTTCACCCTGCTTCCGGTTTTTATGCAAAGCTCCTGTAAACTAACTTCAAAGTTAGCCGTTAGCAGCCGTGAGAGTACTATCAATCTTCTAACGCTTCTAGCTCTCGTGGCCTACAGTGCAGAAGTCCTTTAAGTGGTCCTTTAAGATTGCTTTCTGCTTAAATTAAAGGCCTATCTTGGGTCGTACCTCTACGATGCCATGACTGATAGTGCCATAGGGCTTCCTGCGCACCAGCAGCAGACTGATTACCATCACCATGGCAATCGCCACGGCTACCACTAGCAACCCCACCATGGCGCCACGGTTAAATGTCTCCAAGGCATCAGGTTGCTACAGAAAGAAGGAAATGCGCAGTGAGACATTAGATAAGGGAGACATGCACGGGCAGGATTTAACATGGATTTTAATTTAAATTCATGCTCATTTCTTCAAGCAGTCAAACACATTTTTTTTTTTTTTTTTAACACAAGAGCATTATGATGTTTTTACTCAACCCTTACCAGTTCATCTCTTGCAATCTCAGGAGGTTTGTTGACTACCTGCTTGAGCTCCGCAGAGGTGTTGATCTAGGAGGAGAGGGAAGGTGTAAGAATAAAGGGATTTATTGGGACACAGAAACATTGAAAAGATAACAAACATACACAAAGCACATTTTGGTGTCTCATCATATCGTCTACTGTACAGGGATGGAGTCTATCTGAAATATCAGCAGTCTTTTAGACTGGCCAAAATGATCACCATCATACCTTTTCCTCATACTCATAAGTAGGGCCTCTCTCAGATGTGGTATAGTCATATTCATCGACTGCAGACACTAAGGCTAGAGTCAAAAAGACAGTAACAGTTTTGAGCAGCTGTGAGCAAAAGTAAGAAATAGAAAACACTCAGTGTGAAGAGTAAAATGTTATGCTTTAATGATATTGAACATCAGCTTACCTTTCTTATTTGACTGTGTTTCTGTAGACAGAAAGAAGGGAGAATGTATCATTAACAACAGAAACCTGTGAGAAGCAGTTCATTGTTTTACATGCCACTTACACATTGAGGACAGACTTAAAGACGTTGAATTTGTGGGTGCGTGCATGAGCAGTATGCGGATACGTACCAATACGGGGAGGATAAGGCCTGTTCTGGAAAGCTCTCTCCTCTTCCTCTTCATCATCCTTTTCCTCCTCACTCGCAGCTGGCAGGAGCTCCTCGGTGGTGCGAGTCTCAGAGAAGGAGGTGGTCATGAGCTCGCTGATATCTCCTCGCTCTGCCTTGACCAGCTCCTCTACAGGCGAGGAAAAAAAAAAAAACGCAAGTCATAAATGCTGTTATCTGAAACTGATGAAATGATAAGTAACAGGAGTTCAGCTTACGGATGTCATTGTGCAGCTCCTCAGCCAAAGTAGGATCCTTGTACAGCAGTGCAAGACTCTGGTTCATCCTCTCTTCAATCACATGGAGATGTGTGTATACCTGAAAAATATAAAAATTCAGCTTAGGTGTTTTACCAAGAAAGGGCCAAAAAAAAAAAAAAAAAACCCTTTGCCGTGAAGCAAGAAGCACTGAATTGGTTCTCAAAATTAATCCACCAAAAAAAAAAAAAAACTTTTTTATGGAGTCATGTGTCTAAAGCTGCTTTTTTGAAGTCAGCAAATACTGGCTCTGATCTTAGTTTAATGAAAAGAGTATTGGCGGCTGTTTCACCTCTGTGAGTTCAGCATTTATGAACTTATCTGGAGCACGTACTAACTCTTCAGCACACAATGTTCTGTACGTTTTATGGTCAGCAGAAAGCAGCCTCGCATCCCAAAAGCACAGATGTGTGCGAGAAGTATTTCACACCACACACACAACCACACACAACCACACACACACACACACACACACACACACACACACACACACACACACACACACACACCTGGAATTTCATCTGCTCAGCCTTCTGGGGGTCAACAGCCACAATATGCTGGTAGTGTCTGAGTGTGTGTCTGCGGTCCTTCTGCTCTGCAGCCATGTATCGCTTCAGAGCCTGCAGCACCCGCTCGGGCTGGAAGACAGAGTTGAAGAAACGAGATGAAGCTACTGTCTATTACAGAGAAGGAATCTACAGCAAATCTGTGCTGCTGTTGCACATTTCATTTATGTATGTTCTCTCTCCTCCTCTGTACTCCTCTGTATTCCATGATGCACTAACCTGAGGGGGATCAGACTGTACAGCAGTCAAGTAGTTCTCCAGAGCCAGGCGGCGGTTGTTGTTGAGAATGGCCTCCACTCTGGCAAGATGAGTCTCCACCAGCCTCTGCCTCTCTCCAGCGACCTGTTCCTCCAGCGTCTGCAGCACAGACTGGAAGTGCTGATAGGGGAAAGATGAGGGAGTGGATACAAGGACGATGTTAATTCCTCCGCAGGAGAATTTAAAATGGCAGATTGAAGTCGATAAAGCAGGATGACAAAAGTCCACTTACCTCATTCAGGGCCTGTCGCTCTGACTTTGGCAGATTCTTTGACTGGTTGTCTGCCTCTGCCCATTCCTTCATGATCTGAGGAATAGAAAGACACAGAATAGGTCACATACACTAGAAGCCGATGCTGGTGGTAGCTTCTTATTTACCATAGAGAACACATGAGACAGTGGTATCAATCTTCTTCTCAAACTCTCTGTAAGAAACTGTAGCAACCAAAATTACGAAACATCATTATAAAACAAAACACGTGGACAGATATGAGGAATGGTTTGTCTAGACAGAAAAAAAAAACACAACATGTAATCACTGTTTGATTTACTGACTAGTTGTTTTCCTTTTTTGTATTTAAAAGCCACTTTTAGAAGAATATTGAAACACATATGTAACTGCGTATCTGTGAAGACATGGTGCTGATGAAGACAGTTTTTTTTGGGTGGCGACATCATATGTGTGGTGTGCAATTACCACAGCCAAAACCCAAATCAAAAAGAAAATCTCGAAGTTGTACAGAAGCTGTCGTGAGATTGTGAACAAAGATACACCATGCAAACACCATCCATGCAAACATAGGCAGATGTGCAGCATGATAAACTCTAAATTTCCATCGTGTATGAAACTGCCTCTGCAACCAACACAAAGTACATTAATAGTTTATAACTTTAATGCCAGGCTATAAATTATGACTATTGCAGGGGTCTTGTGATGCATTTATGAAGGGGTTAATTATATTTAAGAATATATACAGTCCATGAGGTAAAATTTCATTCTTACTGCGCAGTCCAAGTGTGACACTTTTGGTTATTATGGTTATTTTTTTCTGTATCTGCTTCCCTGAATGCAGGTGAAACATGTAGAGGCCAGTGCCCCTGTCATTCTAGTCAGTATTAGATTAGGGACTGAGAGCAACGCAACAGCCAGTCTCGTCCCAGATTAGTGAATTGACGGTCAAGAGTCGAACCTGCCCAGCCGAACAACTATTAGCCTGTTCCTAGCCCTGTGAAAATCACCTCATTGATTCGCTTCATTCTGCGCTCCTCCAGGTCCGTTTTGGCACGCAGGAAGTTGGCATGCTCGGTGTCATCCACTGGCTTCTCAAAATAAACATCAACGCCATCTGTGGGCCGAGGCGTAGTCACTGGATGGGAAAGACAGGACAGAAAACAGAGGTTGTGGATTCTGCAAGAATTGCCAGAGAGCAATTATCCTGTAATTCAAAGGGACAGTCCCGGTCAGAGTGCGACAGGCTGTGCTCTGAGAAAAGACCACGAGAGAAGGAAAGCAATTTTACACTACAGTTGGAGGGATGGGAGAAATGGAACAAGCAACAATGGAAAACAACAGCTGCTGTGTGATGGACAGAGTGTGGATGGAAGATAATTCTTCTGTTCATTCATTCATAATACTTCTGCCTTTTGTAACCCCAGCAGAAGTACCAAGGAAACACACACCATGTTGTGTAACACGCCAGATTAATCATTTGACGAAAGCTTGTGGAGCTTTCAACTGCAAAAAATAAGATTACTGTGAAAGTACTAGCGTTACCAATCCCATTTTGCTTTGAGTAATTACTTTTATTATTTTAAATGTGAGAACAATTCCAGTGGTGGAGGATTATTTGAACTTCATTCTTCATATTTTATGATGTAGACTTTAAGTGAACTGGATTAATTGCAGTGTATAAACTCACCATAATTAACACTTGTTTTAATTGAAATAAATGTTATTATCTGTTACAAGTTTACGTTACTACTAGAGAGTTAATAAGAAAGCCAAAAATAAACACGGCATAAGTAAATATTAATATGTGTATGCAGTAAGAGTTTAAAACAAAAATAAACCTCTGACAACACTCTAACACACTCAACCCATAATGAGCCTTCACCAGAAAGAATCACCAGGCTCTGGCTTTTAGTTGAACAGTGTTTCCCACACAGACAGTGACCACCATCATGTTTACCATTCTGAGGTTGTTATTTTATTTAAGCTCACATATAAATGTGATGTGTTAGCTGCTCTATTTACTGTGCATAGTAATAAAGAGCCCTGCTGAGGCCTGGAGGTTGCTGTGGGTGTGGATGTGCGACATGCACCAGATCGTCCTAAAACAGGTTGTGACGTCAGCGGCACTGTCGCCAGTCATTTACTCCTTTTGACTGTGTTCTTCAACACAGCTATTAACACGTTTTCAGCTGATTTTTCACAAACAATAGACAAACAGACAACAGACAAACAGACAAAAAAAAACACTCACAGCTGTCTCCCTTGATCAGAGGTGTGGAGGTGGTGGGTTTGTGGCTTTTCTTGTAGAAGAACGAATCCAGATAGTCTGATGTGTGGTAGGGGCCTGAGTCAATAGGGTATTCATACTCTTCTCGATCTTTCACAGCCATTGCCTCCTCTTCCTCCTCCTCTTCCGCTTCCTCCTCGTCGACCTCCTCTTCCTCCTCCTCCTCCTCCTCCTCCTCTTCTGCATCCTCCTCTTCTTCCACCACTTCATCATCCTCCTCTTCCATATCTGCCTCGTCCACATCTGTGTCAGGAGAGGGGCTCGGGGTGGGGGCTGTTACTTTGGTGCTGCGGAAAAGCGGAACAGTCATTACTGACACCTCCTCCCCCCGTCCTCTAACATCTTTATGTTGTCAAGCTGAATATATTAGTGTCTTACACAGGATTAAGTTTTCCACTGGTCTGGGATGTGAATGTCTGAGGAACAGCAGGGACGTCCCTCTCCTCGGTCTCTCCTTTACCGCTGGAACTCCCTCGGCCCGGGCAGCACACGTACTCAACCCCCCGGAAATGGTCTCCACATGGCAGCAGCATCCCGTAGCTGTGGAGCTCTAGATTGTCTGCAGTGCATTCCTGAAAGAGAGGCAATCAGATCCACAATGTATCACGTATAATCATGTATAATGACGTTGAAAAGAATATTTTTTAACTTAAATGTAGCATAAAATACCATAACATCTAAATATAATAAGACAGACCTCTGGGTTTCTTCCCTTGGAACATAAACAGTTGACAGGAGGAGGTATGAAGGAGTGTAACAGTTTGTAAACTGTCACCTTTCCTGCTCTAACACCTTAGGTAGGTGTACTGACAAAGTGTGACACACTGCACAATACACTACTGTGCAGACTTTTCTAGTCTAGTCTGCCATTGCTGTTAGGGCTGGCTGCACAAAAGGTCTCAAATATGCAATGGAAAGTTCATTGTGCACCAGAGGAGAGGCGAATAAAAATGACCCTTCTGCTTTAACGCGACTGAAAACCTTCCTTTTCTTTATTCATAGGCCTTTATTGTACAGTTTGTCTCAAAACTGCACAGCTCCCATTTTTCCCGCCCTTCTCACCTCCTTAGCAATGTTGTGCCAGTACACGTAACTCTCACAAGCGTCCATCTGCTCTTGGTGGAGGAATCGGCATCGGTCAGGAACCAGCAGGGCCTCGCTCACATACTCGCCCTCTGCAGAGTGATGAAAAGGTGAGGTCAGTGTGAGCCGATTCCAACCGGTTCACTTTCTAGTATTTTTGTATTTTCATTTCAAACTTGATTTAACTAGGCCTCACTGCTGCATTTGAACATGAATGTAGTTTAATAAGGAAGGAAACAAGAGCATGTGAATGAACACAAGCTGCGTGAACACATGGTAGCGGACCAGAAAAGTTAAATGGGGATGGGATGCACAAATTACGTCTGACAGAAAGCATAAACGTGTTAAGTGCAAGCACTGTGAAGTACAAATGCTCTTTGCTTAAAAATGAGTATACATATTTATTACAGAGATCTTAAATGCAGATGACTACATTGTTTATACAATACACCAAAGAGAAATGGTTTTATATTAATTTAAAACATGTTCCTATACCATTGCCTGCTGTTCTTTATGGCTCATGCATAAAGGGAAGTTTTCACCCGTACAACAGGCAGTGCAGTCGAAATCAAACAAGCTAGAGCCCGTTCTATTGCGCTGTGCGTATGTATCAAAGTGCTTCATGACTCCAGAATGACTCACTGTTCATTACTCATTCATTCACTCACTCATCTATTGTTAGCCGATCTCCCCCCCCTAGTGGCCCCTCTGCAATACTGTCAAGCTGAACATGGTGCTTTGTGTGTATTAAAACCTCACACCCTGATTAAGTATCACGATTAGAAAGGCGTGGCACTGTGTGAGATGCAAGGGGAATGCCCGTACTCAAATGGCAAAAATCAAATCAACGTAAAGCCATGCGTTGGTACTAAAAAAAAATCTGAAACCATGCTTGTTATTTTTATGCAATATATGTTATGTAACTGCTTGGTTTTGATATTTCACGAGTCCCTTTTAAAACACCATGTTGTGTTATGGAGAAATCTCCACGAGATGTAATGTTTTATTATTTCTTTAATGCTAACAAATACTGTTGAGTAAAAGTGGAGATTTGTCATTTTTACACTTCATTTTTTTTAACCTTTGGACAGAGTCAAGCTAGCTGTTCCACCTGTTTCCAGTCTTTGTGCTAAACTCAGCTAAGCAGCTGCTCTCTGTAACTTCATATTTAACTGACAAACAGTTGTTAACAGTTAAACCTCAACAAAAAAAAGCAAATATGGGTATTTCCCTTATATTGGAACTATTTCAGAAAAGGTGTCTAATGGTTACATATGAATGACTGCAGTGTCCCTGGTTTGAGTTTGGCTCTCTCCCCTGGTTTCCTTTCTGTTTCCACTGTCAAAACAAAGGGCATGACCTCCAGCACACAGTGAGTGTAGAAATATAAAGGATGCTTCTTTGTGCTTGTTTCTTCTCTCCATTGCAACTTGAGGTCACACAGGAAAACTAAACCTATGAATTCTTGTAATACTGTAATGGCAGTGAGGTGTGTTGTTCTTACCTAGACAGCGGTAGGGCAGGACTATGAAGGGATGTGTCTGGCAGTGGCCCCAACCTTTCCTACACCAGGCGTGGATGGTGACAGGTCTTTTTGACTCCTCTATATGGGAAATCGGAAGCGCTGGGTACATCTGGACGTACAGGTTCATGCAAGACACAGAAACAGATAGATGGATGGGCAGAACGGAGGGGTCGAAGACAAGAGGAGCGGTGGACAGGGAGGAATTGGTTAGAGAAGAGGCTCGGGGATTGGTTTGGATTGGTAGCAGGATCAATGCAAAAGAGGACGGGGAGCACAGTCAGCAGGGGGAGAAGACTAACAAGGGAAAGAGTCATGCAACAGATTCTCTAACTGCCTATATGAAGCCACTTTAGACATGGCATACTGAAGTTATAACTTCAATCAACATTCTTGTCTTTCAACATTTCCAATTTCACATCTGACTACATCCGTTTAAAGTACAGGCTAATAATTTGAGGCACAAGGTCATAATGAGTTCGAATAGCGAGAGAATAGTGAAATGTAGCCGGCCCAGAGTCTGAATGCACAATAAAATGCTTTCTTCATAAATGTCAAAGAAAAAAAAAAGGGATGGTTTTTGTGTAAAAGCCATCACTGATACACAATGTGCCAGCTAATCTCATTACAGTCCATTCAGGCTCACGGCTGCGGCTCTCTGTAGCGGCTATGTGTACTTTGGCCTCCAGGTGGCGCTTGGTTGCCCTTAAAGTTGCACTTCAAATAAATATCTCTGAAGGGGGGGAGTGTGTGGAGAGTGTGTGTACCACTGATTACCTTACAGTAGATGTTTAAAGAGCACACGTACCGGGTAACAAGAGGAGGATAAGGGGATGGAGGCGCAAATGAAATACTGTAATATTTCAACAGGCCACCATCTCTCTACTATATATAGTTAAATATATAGATTTGATAGGGCAGGTGTTAGACAAACCAAATTAGAGAAAAAGAATATGAAATTTGACATGATTTCCCTAAGTCTTGTTGATTACATGAAACATTCTTTTCAACTACTTTGTCATTAAGGCTCCTGATTTCGATAACGCTGCTGTTAGAAGTATTGATCCAGACTGGTGTTCATTACAGCTGTTCAGGTTTATGTTATTTCCCTTGCGAGGTGCAGGATCTTACCTCCTGACAGTAGGACAGGATTTCGCTGGGCTCTTTGAAGCAGCCCTGCCGGCCCTTAGGATCCGGCTCCCACTGCCCAGTCTGTAGGTTCATGTGAAGGAGCTGACGGCCACAGAACATGGCAATCTGCGGCTCTGCCTCCTGGGGGCCTGGCCCGTTCACCTCGGCCATGGCCAGAGCCTAGAGAGCAATAGGGAGGGAGGGAAGGGAGAGAGAGAGAGAGAGACATGATAGGTGAAGAGGAGTCGATACAATTGCACAAATTGTACAAAACACAGTGGCAGATAATATTGTGTTTGAAGCTGATCCAGGGTGAGTAGACCACAGATGATTCCTAAATGCACTCCTGCACTATCCAACATTAGACCGACAGCGTGAGCCAGCGTGCCAGACTGAGAACGAGGGAAAGATCGAAGCAGAGGAGTGAGAACGTAGGGAGGAAGAGGAAGCTAATGCACAGGAGAATGTAGCGCACACTACGAGCTTTAAGAGAATATTGGCAAACCTAAAAATCGGGAAAGATCCATAGAATACTCCCTGATGAAATAACCCTGAAGTGAATGCGAAGAGGAGCCAATAAAAAGCCTGACATATCGACTGGTGGCCTGTGCTCCCTGCCTGCTGACAGCACTGAGAGCTGATAAAAACAAGAATAGATGGTGGACGAAGAAGAGGGCATACAGTAAAAATATACAAGAGTATGTAAAAGATTGCTCCGACTCCCCCCCCCCCGCGCTTCCCCCTCCTCCAGCGGCCTTCTAGGATGTTGTTATTGATCATGGGATATGTTGCCTCTGCCTGGGGGGAGGGCCCAGGGGACCCCACATAGAGGAACAAACACCAGCTAGGGCTTGGAGTCAGGTGTTAATACAAGCTCATTGACCGACGGGCCACTTCACTACATTAACACACAGCACAGAGACAGAGAGAGCCCAGAGAGGAATAAAGGAGGGGAGGGGTTAGTTGGGAAGGAAAAAAGCACTTTAAACAGCACAAAGACTCGATCTATCTCAAGAAGGCAAAACAGATTTTTTCTTTTTCTTTTTCAGAAAACATGAAAATAGTGAGGCCAATGTGAGAAAATGCCAAAGTAGAGAATGTTCCAGGGGATGTCTGAGTCATCTCTGCTGTAAACAAAATGAGCTGTTTTCCAAAGGAAGCCACACAGATTCCTGCAGGTCACACAGCTCATGTAGAAGATGTTAGCTCCATAGAGCATCCTTTGTCAGTAACATTCATGGTAGAGAACATGCGATAATATTTACTGTCCAACTCTGAAACTCTTCAAAAAGGCATCCTGCACCCGGGAGCCTCTGTATGGCTCGTGTCCTTTCATCTGTGCTGACAGACAGAGAGATAGACCTACTGACGACAGACAAGATGAGCGACGCTGAGCCAATTAGAAGGAAGTTGCCCAAAGGGAAGAAACTGGGGAGGGAAAAAAAAAAATATGGGAGAGTGACGCCTGATCAAAGGGAAGCCCTGCTTTGGCCGACCGGAGCTCAAGTGTTTGAAGTCCTAATTAAAATTCATACAGAATAAAATAAATATATAAAACCCCTTTGAGTAAATGTACAATAAATATAATAAGCCCTGAGCAGTCTATGCATTATAATTACGCTAAGAGGAGTTTGTGTTTCTGCATGTCTTAGCAGATTTCTTACAAATTACGGCTCCACTTTTCATTACTGCTGACCGTTTCCCAAAGCATACCAGAATTCTTTTTAGATTTATGAATGGATTTTTTTCCCCACCTTACAGTCCACTGTTTTTTTTTTCTGTTCGTTTTAATATTGTTTTGATATCAAGTTGCTTGAGACAAGTAATCCATCACAGTGAAGATCATCTTTTTTCAATTAAGCCACTTTCAGGGTCATAAGCTTTAAACATAATACTCAGTTTTACGGTACATGTGTTTTACAACAATCATGTTTTGCATATTTATCATTGTTTGTCTTCTAGATATTTTTTGACAGTACTACTAAAGCTATTTTGCAGCCAATTCTAAAGTTTCAGCTCTCAACATTCACTGTGATGGATTACCCATCTCTAGCAGGTTTCAAGTCCCTGCAAGTGAATGATCAACCCACAATTAAATGAATGGAAATATTGGCTGCTGCGAAAGGTGTGGAAAACCTATTCACAAATCTCTAATAACTTGGTTAACAGTGCTGAGCTGCAGATTTTTACTGGTTAAGTATACTGTAGGATAAGCATGGGAAAACACTGCTGAAGCTGCTGTAACAAGCTGCTGAGTTAATGTCTAAATAGATCTCTTTGACTCAGAGAAGGTCAGTGCCACAAAGAGAAAAAAAAATAAGGAAAAAAAAAAAAAACTTCCGGATATTTGAGAAGATAACCTGGCAGCTCCCCCTGGTCCGGCTCTCTCATTCTGCCTGCTCTCCACTACTGCACTTGCAGAAAATCAATGCTGAGCGACTGCAACTGTATCGCCACGTTCCCCCCAATCAATAGCAGTCCATCAGGAGCCCGAGGCCCTGACCTCCAGCACGGCAAGGCCACACACCCAATCTCCAGCCTGATCTGGGACCAGATTAGATCTCCCTCTTGTGATAACCCCTAATAAGCAATACCATTTTAAGATGTACACATCTGTTGGTCTGTTCCTGCGTCGCAGCACAAAATCTCCTGCTTGTTTTTGACCCAGTTTGGAGTATAATCACTTTTTTGCCGCTACAGAAAGCCACAGCCACATCATCACATTAACATCACTCTGGGACTGACGTCTCATAGCCGCAATTTGCTCTGCTGTGTAAATGCCACATGGGTGTCTTTGTCAGTGTTTCATTGTACAGTGTCATTGTATTTTCACAGCAATAACGGGAAGCGTCATCCGTGTGCGTCAGTCCTTTTTATTCTTACCAAAAAGGGTGAGAAAGCTTTTAGGAAGCACTGGATAGAAATGTATTCTGTGTTGTTTGATATTTTGCTTAATGTAAATTGGTCATATCGTGAATTTTTTTTATTTTTCTCATAGAAATAAACACTGACTTTGGAAAACAGTTACAGCACTAAGGATTGTGGGGAAACATCTGGCAAGACTGTGCTTGAACCTGGGCATGACAGGAGCCTGATGTCATTCCAGTAAATGTTGTTGTTGCTTGTTTGGAGAACATATGGTTTTCATTTGCTTTGTTTATTTGATCATGGAACGTTAACTACCGTACCACACTTCACTATACAGTTTCTACAATTAAGCCGGGCAGTTAAAGCTATACATACCTTTTATTCGACATTGCTCTCAGTTCATTTGATTGAATTACATCTATTACTCTTCAGCCCTGGATCACATATGGTTGATATTTCTGTAAAATCAACACCAATATCCAACCTGAAGTCCAGCCAGGACAGACCTGCACAAATAGTTACGTGCCAGAGTGCAGTTGTCTGTGCAGCAGCGCAGCGCAGTGCAGCGGAGAGGATCCGCCAAGTTGATAATCTTGTTTAAATGGCAAATTGGTCAGTCAACCAAGTGGAAAGTCTACCTGATAAAGACGGACAATTGGAAAAGAAGGCCTGGAGAGGTTGTGGTTGTGAGAGGGAAAAAAAAAAAAAACCCAGAGCAGCAAAGGTAATGTGTATGGTTTACAATATACATTACACTTATTTCTGTTCCACACACCTTTATTTCCTAAGCTTTGGGTCATTGAACCAAAGATATGCACAAAAAATTGTTTTCTGTATCAATCAACAATTAGTTCACTTTAGATGAATACATAACAATAAATAATACTTGTGTTAGCCATGCTAGCAGCATGACTCTATGGATGGCAGTGTCAGTCTGACAAAATCATGGTTCTCAGATAATGTATCGTAATAAATTTGGTGATCCTGTGACTTCCTCCCTAACACCATCATCAGGTCAAAAACATTTGTCTAATACTTTGATTCATGACAAAATACCTGCAAGACTAATGACATTCCCGTCGGCCTCGACTCAAACTTGTGTTTTGTGCTAGTTAGTGAATGTTAGGACCCTGGGTTTTTAGCTCAAAGCACTGCTGTGCTGGTGTACAGTGTCACAGAGCTGCTAATATGGTAGATTCATTTAGGTGTAAATGATTGACAATGTATTTCAATATTACTGAGCATTATTTGAAAACAAGATTCTAATTTTCCAATATTGTAATTAACTTAACCAAAACTTTAGCACAACAGCTAATATTTACAAAAATTTAAAGAGTAACACATGCTTTTTCTCGCAATGCTTTAGTAGACACTTTGCTGTATTCACTACATACAGATTAAATAGACACAGACAACAGTCCTCTGTTGTGAAGGATTAAGAGGCTAATTCACAGCTAAAAATAGCTTTTGCTACAGTGAATGAACCACATTCTTTTGCCTTCATTAAGCTGTTATGTTCATGTTTCCTACTTACAAATTATAGCAGAGATTCCCTTTGGACTGACAAACATGCAGTCAAAGATTTTCAGTGTGTTGGTGGTACGCAATTTCCATTTTGATGCCAATTAGACTTTAGAGAGTTAAGACTGTTGTGGTGTGAGCACGGCAGTGTAAGTCTCTCTGAACACTCACTGTCTCCATCAGGAGCTGAGGCATCCTGATCCAGTTGGATTCACAATAACGCTTCACAATCTGTCAACAATTGTACTCTGCAGGACAGGCTGCAGAGCTGCCCTCCATCTCTCAGTGAAAAAATACTGTAGTGTACTGAAGCATCTTTGTACAGTACTGTCTGCAAGCACAGGGGGAAGTGGGAGGTTCAGAGGTTGGTAAGGCAGTGCTGTTCAACCATCCCCAGTCCCACATATCATGTCCTAGTGCTGATGAGGCTGAACAGGCAGACAGCCCAAACGCCTGACAGCTCCCCACTGCAGAGAATGCTGCATCATTAATAACGACCTGGTGATATAAAGCCAGAAACATCGATTAGCTTTCTGCCTTTTTTTTTTTTACTAGGTTCTTTTGCCTTCTTTAACTCCCTTGATATTCTATTTTTCACTGCTCGGCTTCTCCATATCCGTTGCATACAGACTATGCTGCTTAGCTTTGTAGTCACATGTGTACCTCCACAGTCTCCATAGCAATAAGCATCACAAAGAAACAAAGTGATCCCACAGAGACGAGAACACACTGTGCACTCTGCCAGAAGTTGTGGAACGGCTGGTGCAGATATAAATAATAGTTAATTATAT